AGGAACAAAGTACCAGCAAGCAGGAAGGTAAAAGGGGAGAGAGAGAGGAAATTCCTGGTGTCTCTTTTATAAAAAGGCCACACCTGCCAGTAGGCAGCATCAAGCTGTGACCTGATTGACAGGTTGGGCTCCACACCTCCATTTTCAAGTTGACAACTGCACTGCACGTTGACATAAAATATAACTACCACACTGAGTGAAATTAGTCAATCACGAAAGGACAATATTGTATGAGACCACTACTATAACAATAAATATCAAGACAAAGGCAGGATACTATTCCCAGGCAACAAGGTAGTGTATGTACCTGCCTGGTGCTCATGAACCATATGCCACCCCCTCATTTGTAAATCTTAAAAATCACTTCAACAGGGAGGACTCACCTCAACTAGGTCAGTTTCCCATGATGGAAGAGAGGGAAGGCCAAACAACGTTATTCTATGGTCATCCCAATTTAACAGACACCCCTAAAAGAGTGATCAGTGAAACTTACTGGAAATTCAAGTCAAGAGATGGTGTGGGGTGTAGGGCATGTCTGCTTCAGAGAAGGGGACTTTGCTTCAGTTGGTGGGTAAACTGGGTGGGCAGCCTGAAAAACACTCAACAATAAGTATATAGACCACCCATGAGAGAAGATCCTTGGCACTATGTCCCTAATTGACCACATTTGACCTAGTGTTCAAAAACACTCAACAATAAGTATATAGACCACCCATGAGAGAAGATCCTTGGCACTATGTCCCTAATTGACCACATTTGACCTAGTGTTCATTTAGCCCTTGGTGACCCAGGCTATGTAGTATAGACAACCAGGACTTTAGATTCTGTCCTTTCCAGGTACACAAAAATCCTTCACAGGCCACACCAGAAGGATCTGATTTGGAATTCCCACTTTAAAAAAAAAAAAAAAAGCTGTACTTTAAACACCCTGACATTAGATAAAAGGAAATGAAATATTCTCATGGGCCTAAGACTGAAATGCCCTAGTGTGAGAAGAAGCAGTCAACTACTACCTCAAGGCTAAGAATATGGAAGTCATTGAACTTGGGTTTAAAATTCTTTCCTTGAGGGTGTCCAATAAATGGCAACTCAAGACTATGTGCTCTTTTCATACTCTCTTTGCCTTTTCGTGACATGTTTAATCTAGTTCTGCCTTTGTGAATGTGTATCACTGAAATCTCTGCCCTATCATCAGCCCTTGTTGCTTGTGTAAATAGTGTCCATTCACCTAAACTGTTCATCTGTACAAATCAACAATCCATGTATTTTGATCTAAAAGCACTGTCCTATACATGTATACTTTCTTTTACTCAACTGTGTTTTAAATTCTATACCAATGGCTAAATTAATGGTAATATCAAAGAAGTAACTATCATATGCCCCGTAGGGATAATTTATAATGCTCTTCAACAAAATAATAGTGATGTTTTTAAAGTATAACAGGGACATATATAAACCATGGATATATGAATGGATTTTGGGTTCACACTTAATCATAGCCCTAATTTAAGAACAATTTTTTCTTATGATAAGGTCCTGAAGTAATAAACTAAATATATGGGTGCTATAGTAAAGTGTGGTGATGAAAGCAGATGGTGCCCAGCTATCAGAAAGAATAGCATCTGGGGTCTTAAAGACTTGTCTTAAAACAAGCAGCCATCTAAGTGAGACATAAGCTAAATCCACATGGAAGAAACACACCAGCCTATGTGATCCAAGAATTGTAAATAATAAAATAATAAACAAACCCAGAGGAGAGAATGGTATTAAAGCTTAAATTCTGAACACCCTATTCTCAAAAGGCTGTGGATGACAGTTAAAGCAATAAAATCCATTCACATGGTCCACCGTGAGTACTAAGACCCTGGTGAATCCCCTCGGACTCTGGACCAGGGATAGAAAGGCATTGTTATCAGACAGAGTACATTGTAAGGTAGATTACTGCAGTTGTAGTTAGGTGAAAATGTGACACCTTGTCCTCTGATCTCTCACTTGACCCAATATATAACTGTTCCAGTTTTCAGTACTTTCTGCTTTGTTTTTAATTGAGTTTTTCCTGTTTCTTTTTGTCATTGTTTTTAGGCAGTTTGTTTTATTTTGCTTTGATTTCATAACGGTTTTTTTCTGTATATGAAACCCAGGATAATTAAACCAATAGAGACAGCAACGGGGTTCCGAATTCCAAAGGGACATGGCAGGGGAGGTTCAAGGGAAATGGGAGCTAACAACAGAGAGTACAAGGAAGAATAAATGTCCTGGAATTGATTGTGGGGATAGTTGTACAATGCTTATAAATGTGATTAAACTATTGGAATGTGTGATATGTGAATCATATGTCACTGAAACAGTTAAAAATTTATTAAATTAAAATTTTCAAGTTAAAAAAGAACAAATTTACAAAAAGTAATGCTTCATTTTTTAGTTTCAATTCATCTTTAGTTATAAATAGATCAAAATGATCATAAATCCTTTTCATAAAAAACAAACATATAGGATATTGAATATATCTGCTGTGGAACTTATGTAATATACAATTTGGGTAATATTAGCAAACCTATAAACCACAGTCATTTTAATCCATCACATATTTATGGAATTTTATAATTTAGCAAATAATTTCCCATCTCATTTTCTTATTTTATTCTTACATCACCCTTTGAAATGAAAAGACAGTCATAATTTTTCCCACTTGAGAGATGAGACAACTAAGCAAGGTCATGTATTTTGTCCAAAATCACACAACCATTATACATTTCTCCAAAGTCTCCAAGGCGGATTTTTTTACTCTTACTATGGTAATTTTTCAACAACATCAAATACCTTATAAGCATACCAAATATTCTACCTGAAAGCATTTCATTGATTAGCCTGCATACATATTTTAAGGTTATTTACTAAATTATTTCCTAAAATTCACAGCTTAAGGAAAATTGCTCTGCTAATGTATATTGCAGATTGAATCTGTTGTCCTTAAATGTCTTGAAAGGTGCAGCTCCCTCCACCCCACTCTTACAAATAAAATACATGTGTTTATAATTTTGTTGTGACCGTGGTCTGCTAATAGCTAATATGTGCTTTAACAAACAAAAAAAATTAAATTAAATTCACTGCCACCAAGTTGATGTCAACTCGTAGTGACCCTTATACGACAGGGTAGAACTGCCCATTGTGAGTTTCCAAGACTGTCCACTGTTCACGGGAGTAGAAAGCCCCATCTTTCACCCTCAGAGCAACTGATCTTGAAGATAGTAATCCAATACATAACCCCTATGCAACCAGGTCTCCTCAATATGTGCTGTAAGCAACTCCAAATTACTGCACATTCAGTAAAATAAATGTAATAAGCAATACAGGTTGTTGTTGTTTTTATGGAAAACTTACGCAGCTTCCGGATTCATCAGACAGATGGTTCCTGAACAGTGGCATTCCTTTGGATCATCGTAAGATAGTCCTAGACTAAATCCCAGCAACTGGGAAACAACGACTGAAAACGCCTCCAAAGTTATCTTGCTGGTGTACTACATTAACAAAGAAAATCCCAAGAAAGTCGGTTCAAAGGACAGTAAAAAAAAATACTCCAACTTTAACATTTTTATCATTTTTGTCAAAATTTTAAAACAGGGAGATGGGATTCCTTGGGAAGGTAAGACAATATTATTATTTGTAGCTGAATATAAGTATAATGATCTATAGATTTTCCATGTTTAAAATTTTGATTTTCTAAAATAATTACTAGGTAGCTATTACAATTTATTTTAGAAGACTGCTTTTAATGAAGAATATTGACATTCAATGTTAACCTATTAGGACCACTTCTATTTACCCAAATTCTTGTAACAGTTCTGATTTGCTCTAAGATAACTCAGTTCACATAGTGGTCACAAAATCAAGATATCTGGTTCTCCTTCCTTGTAAGACCTTCATTAATACAATGAGTGGTGTCAAGAAAATGATAAACCTGACTTGAATGGTTTAAACTTGGTCAGTTGATCCCTTCTTTGATGCATGTTGGGCCTGATCTTGTTGTGAACAGTCTCTCTCTCTCTCTCTCTCTCTCTCTCTCTCTCTCTCT